TAGAGAAAAGTGTCCTCTCTTATCTCCGTGCTTGGTCGACGCTACGTACTATATGTATAGAGAGGACTCGACACGCTAGCTAGTAAGCAAATGAAGGAAATCATTAAGTACACAAGATCGTCATGAACATATACAGAGAGAAGTGATCGACCTCTCCTTCTCCGAGAGATTGGTTGAACAACAAGTTTTTGTATATCTATCCGACGCTACTGGCTACATATATACAATACAAGATCTCTTACAATTCCCTAACATCTAATGTCAAATTCCACATGGTATTCTCCAGCTTTATTTATGACGTGGTCAAGAAAGAATCCCGCCAATTTCTCTTGAATTGCTCGTATGCGATCTTGTGGCAGGAGTTCATTCCGCATCTGCCACAACACAAATGATGGTAATAAAATAAAATTGTGAATATTATTACTTACGCACTTCAAATTGTCTTTTAGAGTAGCCCCGCTTAGAGGTCGTCGTGTTGTAGATGAACTCGCAAATGTAGTATCCACAGTAATCATTCCCGGGTTCCTGCCACAAGCACTTTATGAGAAATAGAGGTCAATCAAACTAATAATCAAGCATTATAAATGGTATTGATGAAAGTAACTAGAATCAATGGGAGATGCGCGGAACTAGCTAGTAGTACTTACATTCGGGTGTGTAAATCGCAGCTCCCCCGGCAGTCCCGGAGCTTCTATGGTGAACTCTTTTCAAACCCTGCCAGACAAAGAAAACAATTACTTGATATCAGGAAATGAACAAAGTTGCCGATATGGTGCGAGAATGATCGATTGAACTTACTTCTCGAGCATTTTAATTAGTCATGGCCGCATACTCCTCGGGATCTTTTCATCTCGGGTCTAAGACGGTTACTAGTCCCTGCTCAAGCTTAATCTCTAGCAGAATAAAGTGGAAGTTGTGCACGCATGCATAACTTATCAGTTACATTACTATAACCTCGAGTAATAAGGAAAACCGAATATGCACAAGACAGTAACACTCACTTGAAGTTGTAAGGAAAGAGTATTTTCTCTTTGTTTTGATTTCGAAGCAACGATAGTAGCAAGTTGGCCTCGGTTTGTTTGGCATCATATTTTACCGTCCATTCATCTATGTGAATTGTGTTAATGAACCCAATATCATGGATTTGTGCTTTTATGCATTCGACGATCTTCAATCTGCATAATATAGTGGGGATAATTATATATACATGCAATGAAAGAGCTGAGCTATATATAGAGACTTAATTATAGAAGTAGTACTTACAGACAGTAGCAAGTGACGATTATTTTATCGAGGGCCTTTTGATTGAAAAATTGGAAGAACTCCTCAAATGGAACAGACAACAGATCAATTCCAACGAGGTCGTGCTCCTCTTTAACTCTTAGCGTCAAAATATCCTTTCCAGACTCGCTGCAGGTGTCCATGTACCACTCATGGAATCTTCACATCATCGTTGTTAGAGGAGGATGACCAGGTTTGACAAGAGGCTTCCCATACCGGTATTTGAATTCGTCCACCTCCATTGTATCAAAATGTGCATCGTCGGGCATGTAATCTGCAGGACTGGTACCGGGCACCATCCCCAGATGATTAGCGACGATATCGCTAGACATCTTGAGCGGGGGGCACGATTGGTTCAATTGTTTGCCGAGCTGG